GGTCTTGCTAAGTTGCCTAGAGCCTCACTAAGTTGCTGAGGCTGGCTTTGAACTCGCAATCATCCTGCCTCAGCCTCCTGAGTTGCTGGGATTACAGGTGAGTGTGCTGCACCTGGCTGCTCCATCTTTTTTTGTTTTATTGTGATAATTAACTCTTATGTTAGTTCTCCTTTATTTTCCTCATATATTTATTTTTGTGTAATCTTCTAAACTCTTGTTGATTTCTATTTCATTTTTGCCCACTTTCTTGGTCTTGTCGTGTAAGTCTCTTACTGAGTTGTTGTTGGTATCTCTTCTGCCTTGAGCTATTTACAGCTTTCTTTGATGCAATGGTTTTAGAGGCCTACACTTTTAGCTCAAGACCTTTTGCTTCCAACTGGAGTCCTTGCCAGTAAATAGCTATGCTGTAAAAAGAAATCTTCTAAAGGGACAGATGCCTTTCATCATTCGTTGAGTGTTTGGTCATGTTTCTTCATTGTATTTCAGATAATCAAAATTCCCCTTTGAATTTTTTCTTTTTTCCTCTCTTATCTACTCATCTAAGTTCCTTATGTAGTCATTCTTATAATTTGAATGTGTATTTTTTTAAAAAAATATTTATTTTTTTAGTTGTAGTTGGATACAATACCTTTATTTATTTATTTTTATGTGATGCTGAGGATCGAACCCAGGGCCCTGCATTTGCTAGGCGAGCACTCTACCGCTGAGCCACAGTCCCAGCCCGAACATGTATTCTTATGGATGTTTTAGATTTGTAGTTTTAAAAATAAATATTTTGGAAATTTTTGGTTCTTTTATGTAGAAGGAAGATTATGGAATTTTCTCTTTGCCCACAAAGCAGATTGAGTATTCTCCCAGAAGGAAGAATTATGACTATGTCCTATACAATGGCTTATCAGGCTTGTGATACTTTTTTATCAGTTGAAGGGAAATATGCAAAACTGAGGAAAATACAAGTTTGAATAGTCTTTATTATTTTTTTTTCTTCTGAGGGTTTTACTGGTCCCTCTATAACCTGAAGAGAAAGCCATGCTCACAGCCAAAGTATGACACCCAGGGTTTTTATTGTCTTTGCAGTCTTGTCTTCACAGGAGTGAAGACAACCCATGTCTGTGCAGAATAACCGTAAACCCCATGCTTCCTGTGTCATGGGTCCAGGGGTAGGAGGTGACAGATTCACGGTTGGTACATTCAACAGCCTGGTAGGCCTTTCCTTTAGGGTTTGTCAGGATAGCTGCACCCCAACAAGCAATGCTGATGCCGATGACCATGTGCTGGGTGTAGCCCAGCTTCAGGGTGTCCACGCCACCAAGTACACGGAAAGGCCTGTGGCCCCGAGAGAACCAGGCAACTCCAGCAGTTATTAAACAAGGGAGCTTCTGATGGGAAGTTGGGCTCTCTGGATGTACCTGGGGATGTGGAGTTGGCTGGGGAGGTGACCTTCCTAGGCTGCAGAAGCTGGGACAATGAAGAACCCATGTTCTGGAACTTGGACCAGCCCTAACAAAACTTCTGTTCTTGAATGGTCTTTAGATGTGTGCTTTTAAAATGTTTATATAGAGTCAAAGATTTGAAGAGCACTTCTGACCATGTCCAGGTCTCACTGTATCCATTTGGCTCTTAGGAAGTGGTTAGGGATTCTAGGCATGTTTTTAGTTAGGTTTTTGTTGCTGTGACCAAAATACTGACAAGAGCAACTTACAGGAGGACACGTTTATTTGGGGCTCACTGATTCAGAGGTCTCGGTCCATAGACAGCGGAATCCCTTCCTTGGGGCTCCAGTTGAAGCAGCACGTCATGGGGGAGTGCCCAGTGGAGGAAAGCTGCTCAGTTCCTGGCTGGGCCAGGAAGAGGGGTGGGAGAGGGAACCCAGTGAAGGGGGCCCAGGGAAGATGCACCCTCTGGGGTGTGCCCTCGGTGACCGACCTCCTCCAGCCACACCCCTCCTGCCTACAGTTACCACCCTGTCAGTCCATTCAAATGAGGAATGGACTAAAGGAAAGGTCACACTTCTAATCCAGTCACTTCACCTCTGAACATTCCTTCATTGACACAGGAGCTTTTGAGGGACACCTCACATCCAAATCATAACAAGGCATCACTTTGGATGTTTTAGGGTGACATGGCTCAAAGAAATTATGACCACAGGGCTTAAGAAGTTGAGCAGTGACAGACTGTGTCCACATAATTTCTTGCCATTAAGCTTCTTTCCCCAGACATTGTGCGATCCGTATACGTATGGGGGTCTCTGTTCGTGACAAATGGGAAAAGAAGGGCCATTCTTCTCAGAAACAACTGAATCTTAGATTCTCAGGCCTGTGGAAAACTTTTTACCCCCTCATTGTGTTTTGTCAAGTTTATCTTATTCAGCTTGACCAGAAGCAGTAGAGGTATCAGTGTGTGCCGTTGTTGATATCTTATTCTATGCCAAATGCTTGCTAAGTGCCTGTATGTACCCATATAATTTTTTATTAAAATGGTTACATGAGTTATTATTATTTCCATTTTAATAATAAGAAAACAGACTTGAAGTTAGGTTACATGACAGTTAAATGGTAGAGTCAGTTTCAATCCAGGATTCCCAGGCCCCAAAGGACAGGCCCTGAACAGCTGTATTGTCTCTATATACCAAAGGGGCATACTGCAGACTGATAAAAGAAAAAGCTTCTATCATGTAAATACAATTTATTAAAAAAATAACTCATCTAAAGAAGTACACATTGTATCTCTGCTAATACTAAATAAGACACCTCCACTGCAAAGGAGAAATTTTCATTAACACCATTTAATACAGGTTAGCTGTGTTTGAATAATTAAAACAGACTTTCCCATCCTGCTTGTACCCTCCATAGAATCTGGAGAATTAGATTGTGGATTGAGAAGGGCTGGGAGAGTAAATGCCGTTTTTCCATGAATAATTCCACATATGGTTAAGTGGGTTTTGCTTGAGCTTCCTTTTCCTAATGGGGAAAACATTCAATTCTTAAATGTCAAAATGGGAATCTTTAACCCAAATAAAGAGATGGGAACTGTAATGAACAGTATAGAATTGTTTAAAATGGTAGTTTGTCTTCATAATAGCTGCTATTCTGACTGGAGTGAAATGATATCTTAGAGTAGTTTTGATTTGCATTTCTCTAATTGTTAGAGGTGATGAACATTTTTTCATATATTTGTTGATTGATTGTATATCATCTTCTGAGAAGTGTCTGTTCAGGTCCTTGGTGTTGGCAAGGATGTGGGGAAAAAGGCACACTCATACATTGCTGGTGGAACTGCAAATTGGTACAGCCAATATGGAAAGTAGTAGGGAGATTCATTGGAAATCTGGGAATGGAACCACCATTTGACCCAACTATCCCTCTCCTCAGTCTATACCCAAAGGACTTAAAATCAGCACACTACAGGGACACAGCCACATCAATGTTTATAGCAGCATAATTCACAATAGCTAAACTGTGGAGCCAACCTAGATGCCCCTCAGTAGATGAATGGATAAAAAAAATGTGGCATATATACACAATGGAATATTACTCATCAATAAAAGAGAATAAAATCATGGCATTTGCAGGTAAATAAATGGATGACATTGGAGAAGATAATGCTAAGTGAAGTTAGCCAATCCCCCCAAAAATAAATGCTGAATGTTTTCGGAGGTTGACATAAGGAGGTTGACTCATAGTGGGGTAGGGAGGAGGAGCATGGGAGGAATAGACGAACTCTAGATAGAGCAGAGAGGTGGGAGGGAAAGGGAGGAGGCAGGGGGTTAGCAAGGATGGTGGAATGTGACAGACATCACTATCCAAAGTACATGTATGAAGACATGAATTGGTGTCAACATACTTTATATATAACCAGAGATATAAAAAATTGGGCTGTATATGTGTAATAAGAATTGTAATACATTCCACTGTCATTTATTTTTTTAAAAAAATCAATTAAAAAAAAGAATTGTTTAAAATGGTATCAAACATACTTTTCCACTGTTAATTAGGAAATGTGCTCTTATGTCATTTGGTGATCCAAAAAACATTGCCCAACCAACAACATATTGGTTTTTCTGGATGGGGTAATGAAGTTAAATATTTATTTATGTGGGTGTAATGGGCACTGCCCTGTGAATTCCACTCTTTGTAATTAATGTGCCATTGCCTTAACCTGACCAAGTATTTCTGCTTTCTGCACACAAGAGACAGACTTCTGCTATTGTTTGCAATTACTCTCATAAAAATTTGAAAGCGAGAAGTTTGTCTTCTGCTTCATGTTTCCATGTTTCTGTGGTAAGACGACAGAACCCCATAGGTTCAGACTTTGGCCTGTGGCTGGTTTTTAGTCCTCTGCTCATTTCCAGCTTGTCTTGTGTCCTGAGGCAGATGCACTGATACCTCAGAGCAACAGGGCCGGGCAGTAGCAAGAAGACCCAGAGCAGGCAAGCTGTTCTTTTCTCTTTTGCTCTAGAATGCAGTGAAAAATAGCCCTTCTTCATTCCTCCCACCTGAGAGATGGGTGAGGAAGTAGTTCAGGTCTGCCAGTGCTTTTGTTCAAGTCACACTCAGAAGACCTTCTTCCGTCATCTCGTGGTTGATGACTTAGCAACCCGTTTGTCACTAAAACAAACGGCCCAGAGCTGCAAACGAAGTGACTCCTTAGAGTTGGGGCCAGGTAGTGAAACCCAGCGCACTGAGTTGGGGAAATTATTCCTGTGCTATTTTGGAGAGTCTTGTCCTGAGGACAATTAAACAGTCCAGACAGGTCACTGGGTGAGACCAATTTCCTGGTTTGTTTATTTGAGCCTGATTGTTTTCACCACTGAGCAGCCGGACACAATCTGCCACACCGTTACCCCAGGCCTGCAGAGAGCGATCCTTTCATTTTTGATTTCTCCAGGCTTCCTACGGATTCTAGCGTGTCTTTATCTGGTGGGGTTGCTCTGGAGTCTCTCAGGCACAGACAGGGTGGAGGCCAATATCAGTGATTGCTCTTGATTTCATCTTATACAGGCATTTGGCTTTATGTCCCGAGTCGCCCTACAAGCAGAGAAGATGAATCATCACCCTGAGTGGCTCAATGTGTACAACAAGGTAAACGGATCACCTTATTTTGGGATCAATTTTAATTATGGAGTTCGAGAAACTTCTTTCTTCTTTTCTTCCTTGTCATCTTGTGCAACTAAATGTGCTTGTGCTTAAGAAAGTATTTTCTGATTCTTTCTCTTAGAATCCCTGTGTATTATTGCAAATTAGTGACAAATTTCAGATCTGCTCATGAGAACAGTGAATAAGCTCTTTATTTTCATGTTTGTCTTCTACTGAAACTTTTAATAAAAAGAAAGTTGGGCCTAATTAGGTTCCTGAATTAAACTTGAATATCAGCCGCGCAGGTAAACTTTTAAATTGAAAATAATTTATTGAAAGAAAGGGTTGCAAATAAGATAGATATGTCCTAATTATCTTATTGAAATAGATTTTCTCAGGAATTATATTTTATAAAAATAACTATTTATTGAATTCTGGATCCTCAAAATTTACAAAGTTTTAGAGACTACAGTGAGAAGAATCATGTCCCCCCCCAAAAGTGTCCTTGTCTTTATGGTCACACCATTTGAAATATCTTACCATCCAGGTTTTGTGAGGGTTTATTTTCTCTCTGGAAGTCCTCTTTGAAAAAAGAAACATCACCATTCTTGATTATATATATATATATATATATATATATATATTTTGAATAATTCAAAGCACCCCCATACTAGCATCAGCTTTTCTTTCCTAGTTGCCTTTCTTTGCCCATAATTTTATTTTTGCTTTTTAACCAATTTGTCAAGAGGTAGCGTTCCCAACACACACTCCTTCCCTAATTTGGAAATGTGCTTTTTTTTAACATCACTGCTAAGATATTACATTTGATAGCTTGGCTTTTCTCAGTGGCCCCCAAATAGTTGGTGTAATTAAAGTAATGGGAGTTAAAATGGAACCCCAGTCTCTCTTTTTTTTCTCAAGAAACGAGATTTGAGATCCTGGCAGCTAAATTTCCTCCTCGTATGAGACAACCTTTTTATCCTGGGTGGCTGCCGGGCCCCCTCTGATGAAGACTGTGGTCCTGGAGTTTGCTGGGTTTTGCTGTGTTTATTGTTCATAATGTATTTTCTAAAGCATTTGATCCCCCTGATTCTCAAATATGAATGTTGGATAATAGATTGATTTCTGAACCACCCAAGGAGAATTCCATGAATTGTAGCTCAGGGTTTTAAAAGCTGCTTTCTTCTTTCTTAGGTCCAGATAACCCTCACCTCTCATGACTCTGGCGGACTGACCAAAAGAGATGTGAGACTGGCCAAGTTTATTGAGAAAGTGGCTGCTTCTGTGTGATTTCTTCAAAATGCATGCATAATCTTATGTACTGCTGCAGTATATCTTGAAGGCAATTTACATGAACAAAAATCAAGTTTTAAAGGAGTTCATCCTTCTACATTTTGTATAATCAGTGTGTAAATACAAGATGACCTAAACCTGAGCCTAAGGTGTTTTTTATTACATGTATTCACAGGCATAAGATAACTCAACCTAGCAATTACATTAATAATATTTAAAGAGAGAAATGGATTCTTAAAAACCAGAACTTAGGAAAGGGAATAATCACGTATTTCATAACCCAGAAATTCAAAATCATGACTTTATAAAAGCATTGTGTTGAAGAATAGTTGTAAGGTACAGGAATTAGGCACTTTGCAGGGAATGGGTTTTAATCTTACGTAACAAATTGTAGGAAGCTAAAGTCGATTTGGATTTTGGTGCTGCTACTACTTAAGTAATTGATTAGATCATGAAAGTCACAAAAATGAGCTGTCTTGGTGTGTCTTACCTTTCAGACAGGGAGTTAGAGTATGAGGGTCTCATTCGTGGCTTCCTGCAAGATGTGGCAACACAAGGACTCTCTGTCACAGTGATCGCTTACCAGGCCATTATTGGACTTACAGGGTTAAGGAGGAACTGAGGGTCATTTCTTTGCTTCATTTGTATGTTGTGACCCCTGAACTGAGGGTCTGCAGCCTTGGGATCTTGAGATTTAACAAGGATCATCTTTGTAAGACACCTCACTTCAGAGGCCAGAAACAGCATTCCGTTATAACAGGCAAACCTTCCCCTCCTCAGCCCAGCCCCTGCTCCAGCAGGACCGGGAGGCTGCGTTCTCCTTGAAGTCCATGCTTGGCTGGTTCTGTTAGCCAAGGAAAGACAGCTTTGGTCAGTTGGCCCCGTGGGCATGGAATGTGCAGGGAGGGGAAGGGAGTGGAGAGCCACAGGCTCTATGGCCCCCAGGGGAGCAAAAGCCTTCATACTACGACTTCTGTTTCCTAGAATTTTTCAAAGGAAAAGGCAAAGCTATGTGTTTTTTATAATCTCTTCCCTACATTATAGATTTGGAACTTTTATACATTTTATTACCAAAGATTTTTAGTTCATTGCTTCAATTTTTATGTGAGCCTTTTTAAAAACAATTTTTAAATTTTGTTTACTCTTATTAGTTATATATGACAGCAGAATGCAGTTCAATTCATATTACACAAATAGAGCACAATTTTTTATGTCTCTGGTTGAACACAAAGTAGAGTCACACCATTTGTGTTTTCATATATGTACTTAGGGTGATGACATCCGTCTCATTCCACCATCTTTCACATGAGATTTTTAAACATGAAAAATTTTAAACATATGCAAAAGTAGAGTGAATAGTACATTGAACCCTTATGTATTGATCACCCAGATGTAGCAGTTACCAAGATTATGCCCAGTTCCTTCATATAATCCCATTTCTGTTGATAAACTATTTAAAAACAAATACCAGATAGCATGTCATTACTCTTCTGTGTCCTTCAGTAAGCATTTCTAGGAAAATATTATCATCTTACATAAAACAACAATGCCATTGTCACATATAACTATATAAGCCATGATTCCCTGGTACCACCAAATACCCAGGCCAAACCAAATTGCTCTGAGGTCAATAAAGTGTTTGGACAGTATTTTGGTTCTAGTTAGGATCCACATGAAGTCTACCCATCACATCTGGTGGCTGTGTCTTTATTCTCTCTGAGCCTAGAGCAACCACCCCTCTTCTCTCCCCAACCCTTTCTCCATGTATTTGATTTATCAAAACTGGGTCAATTGTCTGGTAGAATATTTGCCTTTGACTTTGGTGTCATTTAACTTGTTCCACTGCACCACCAATGTAAGCCTCTCCTCCTATTTTGAATGTATCTGAGGCTAGATGGATGGCTGCGTTAACATATGCCACATAGAGCACAGTGGGGAAAGCAGGCTATAGCTCCTAATTACAAAGACCTGGAGCAGAGTTACTGGTCAGCATCCACGTGAGGGTTTGACATAAGGTCCATGTTAAGGGGATTGCATCTGCTGGAACTCAAAAACAGTTCAGAATCAAAGATCCTGTATCAGAAGTCAGTAGAGATACTCAGGGTACCAAATTCCAGCAGATGAATCCCCAGACTTACTTCAAGTAACTGACTTTGCAACTTGAAAGAGACTTTGTCAAAGTTGAAGGCCCCCAAATCCTTGTGTGCTGACAGTGGTTTCTCTGATGTGGTAAGCTTTGGTTTCCCTCTGTTTTCTCTCTAAGTGATCACCAGAGGAGAGAGGAGTTAAACAGACACAGTCTACTCCTTGAGTGACTTCCATGTAACAAACCAGGGCCAGCATGTTTGACTTTGTCCTTTTCTAAAATAAAGTTAATGAAAGTTTGGGAAATAATGGTTACTTTCTGTCATTGATATGATTTAAGAAATCTGGAAATAAATAAAATAAGCATGGTTCTTTGTATTTTCACTATAGGCAGAAAGCAGCAGCCTGTATATTATATTTGAAATAAGCCCGACTTCTATCAATGTATTGAATAATTGTCTACAGTATTAGTATGGAACAGTCTGAATACTTTCTAATTCACACTCAAAAATGTAATAGTTGAACTTTCAGTTTTGTAAACTTTCCTGTGAAACTTTCCTGTAAACTTTCCATCTCAGTAATAGGTTTGGCTGTTATCATATGTGAACTTTGTATTTCAGCGCCAATTTCTTGGGACCACGATTGAAGGGTCCCCAGGCTGCTGTGCCTGCTGAGGCAGCCCAGGTAGGGCTGCCCAGGCCCCGCAGAGTGAGCTGCTGCTGATAGGGTGGGAGAGGTGGCACTTGGGCTTCTCATCCGAGAATGCCTGTCCTGTCCACCTGCGTGTGGGAAGATCTGGATTTCAGGAGGCCCTGGATGAGCTCACCACCTCCGAGTTCCTGTTGCACTCCCCTCTCCCAGCTGGAGTTCCGTTCCCAGACTGTCTTCATCAGTGGCTTCCGAAACCGCATTCAGCTGAGATGGACCGCGCTGATGGGGTTCACTAGGAACAACTGGGCTCTTTCTCCTGCCTGCAGCTGGCTGTCTCTCCTCACCACCGCACCCAGCATTACATTTTTAATCTCCTTTCTGTTTTTTCCCAGAGGAAGTCCCAGAAGTGTCCCTCTGGGGTCCTTGCAGATGCACTTCCACTGTGCCACACAAACTGAGTGATGCTACTCAGTTCAGTACCCTGTTCATCTAGCTTGTGTGCTGCAGGGGATGAGGGCGGGTTAACATCTTGGGGCAGATGGAGATGCAGAGCTGACTCAGCCCTTCTGAGCAACTGCTGCAGAAGGCCACTGTGGCATTAGGGGGACACATGACCAAAGAAAGCAATAGGAGTCATAGGAAGAACTGGTCTCTTTCTCTCTGAGGGAGAAGGGGTAGACTCAGGGTGCAGCTAAAGTTTGAATCTTAGGTAATCTTGGTAATCAAGCTGATTAAAATTTGCTGTGATGATTTGTTTTTAATTAACAGATAATAACTGTATATCTTTATGGGGTACAGTGTGATGTTTTGGTACCTTTATACATTTTATATTGATCAACTCAGGATGCTTAGGTTCCCCATCATCTCAAACATCTATCATTATTTTATGTTGAGAATGTTAAAAATCTTTTGTTTTGGATTTTATGATACAGTACTGTTAACTGTAATCACCCTCTGTGTAATAATTCACCGGAACTTTTTCATCCTGTCTGGCTAGGAGTAAATAAGATGTTGTCACCCAGTTCAGTATATTTTCCTACCAGGAATGGAAATACGCACTTATTTTAAAATACCAAGGACAGCAGAGATGGTGGGGTGGTTACCTCATTTTTTAATGGTCCAAGAATTTAGGTTTCGAGGAAACCGACCAATTTAGCCCCTAAACATTTAATACAACATACAGCTAAGCAGATCTGTCTTGATTTGCTTTGAAGGCTAAAGGGGCTGGGGGAGGATATATTAATCCTGAGAGTTGAACAGAACAAAAATCCTGATATAGTAGACCATCCCTTACACCCTGTTTAGGTGTTTCATACACACATATATCCCGTGCCCCAAATGAGCCAACATAGGGCCTATGTTACCTTCTCTGCCCCTACTAATTCTTTTGTCCTAGTCCCAAATGGATCACAATCTTTCCTTCCAGATGTTTCCATTGCTGGCCCTGATGTGTTCTCTCACAGAATCATAGAGATCATAGAGAACTTTGCTTTTTTTTTTTCTTTCTTTCTTACATGACCCTCAACTTTTTCTAACACATCATTAAGGGTCTAACAGATGGGACACTTCTTGAAGTGGGAACCTTTGCCCTATCTCTAGTGTTGCCCAGCATTCGCCCGAGCTTTACCTTTGCTGGGTGCATGTGAAGCCCCTTGCTCAACTGAAGCACTGTTTCCTTGAGAAGAAGGATCCTGGGACAGGCTTGCTGGGAGCGCCCCACCCAGTGGTCTGTAGGCTAGTGATGCGCTGGAATGCCTGAGAGTGATCTCATAAAGCCAAGATTCCCTCATGGACCCTTTTCTGCTGCCTCTTGGAATCCAGACACCAAGGGGATCTCTAAGTAGAGAATTTTTTTTTGATTAGCTATAAAAGCAAGGAATAAAAAATTGAAAATTTAAAAAATGTCTCAGGCCATGTACGAAGATGTGCCACCAAAGTCTACTTCCAGTTCGCTGTTTGGTGCTGCATCACAGGCGTTCTGTGGGAGATGCGGGAAATTTAAGTAAATATTTCTATTTCCGTTGTTAAGAAGCGTGTAAAGGGCAGGGTGCAGGCGGGTGTCAGCTTTCTAGCCTCTTCCACACACTTGTGGGCTTCCCAGGTGGAGGGCACCTCTGACCGTTGGTTTCCCTAGTTGGTGAGGCTGGCACACTGTTACTGACCTGCAGACTACACTCAGTGTTATCTTTTCCTGTTAAATAATTTGAAGTCTTTTAAAATTTTGTAATAGACTATTTCAAGCCAGAAAATGAAAATTACACATCTTGTTTTTATAAATCACAGAGGTATATATGATATTCATACACACAGCACACTTTTTTTTTTTTAAAGACATGATCTTGCTATGTTGCCCAGGGGTGGTCTTCAACTTGTGAACTCAAGTGATCCTCCTGCCTCAGCCTCCCAAGTAGATGGAACTATAGATAACAGCCATTTTGCTTGGTTACATTCTGTATTTTTTTCACCTTAATGAAAATGAGAAAAAAAAGTAATCTTTGAGAAAATTTGCAAGGCACAGATAAATGTAAATGAATAACAACAAGAATGACTTATAACTTCACCACTATTCACACTTTGGCATATTTCCTGCTGAGTGTTTTCTACCCATTTTATATCCTGCTTTTTAAAAATTTTTATTATTGTTTCAAGGTTTACCAGAGAATAAACATTTTGCTAAATCATGAAAAAAAGCATAGCAAGGGCTGTGGTCGTGGCTCAGTGGTAGAACACTTGCTTAGCATGTGTGAGGCACTGAGTTAGAATCTCAGCACCACATATCAATAAATAAAATAAAGGTCCATCAACAATTTTAAAAAAGTATTTTAAAAAATACATAGCCAAATTTTAAGGTCTATGTTTCATGAAATGGAGATGCCAGAGTTTACTTAACCACTCCTTTTTGTTAGATTTTAAAATTGTTTTCAGTTTCTCACTACTATAAATAATACAGGAGTAAACATCTTTGGCTAAAGTCACTTCCTGCATTTTACATTGTTCTTTTGGAATAGATTCCACAGGTGAGAGGATAGGAACAGTTCTGGGCTCTTTAGAAAAGCTGTCAACTTAGCTGGGCATGGTGGTGCATGCTTGTAATCCTAGCAACTCTGGGAGATTAAGTCAGGAAGATCACAGGTTCAAGGTCAATCTGGGCAATTTAGGAAGACTCTCCCTGTCTCAAAAGGAAAAAAAAAAAAAAAGAAAAGAAAAGCCGGTCAACTTCGATTTCCCTGGAGGCTTATGAGACTACCCCATCATACTCCACTTTTGACAGCATTAAATACTATTATGCTTATTTTTTATTTATTTTATTTTTATGTGGTGCTGAGGATCAAACCCAGTGCCTCACATGTGCTAGGCAAGGGCTCTGCCACTGAGCCACAACCCCAGCCCACTATCATGTTCAAGTCTTTGCTAATTTTATAAGCAAAAGTGGTTTTTTAAAAGACTCCCTGACATTTGGGGCTTATTTCGGCCACTTGTTTTTCTTTCATAAGTTGTGTGCCCATTTTTCTCTTAGGGTGTTCAATTTTTTTTATCATTGATTTGTAAGCAATTGATTTGTAAGCAAAAGATGATGATTTGATTGTTATCAGTTTTTTCTATCAGACTGATAGTATTTAAATTTTTTACATTGTATTTCTAGTACTTTCTGTGTTGCTTGGCATGTAATAATCAATAAAAATTTGTCGAATGAATAAATGAAGGCTATTGCTTGCGAAGGAGTGACTTCTTTTTTAGAGGTTTGCTAAGAGGCGGACAGACCATTGATGATGATCACACATATTTCAATTGTCATTCATTCAGTATTAATTGCTATTTGAAAGTGTATGTGGATTTATTTTCCCAAAAGGGGAAAAGCAGACCCTGATCCCTACAAAAAGGTGTGCATTGTAACTCTGTTGTGTAACCATACCTCTTATTCACCTTTTTGATAGGAGGAAAGACCGTCAATGTCAGGCATTTGTGAGGAGAGTCATAACGAGTCATCTCTTTCGGATAATTATGATTAGCACCATCTCTTTGAATGCCTTTCTTACAGTCTTGTGGACCAGTTATAAAATAAGATACCGCTTGTACAGAGTTTTTGAGGTAAGCTGAAAAAAGGGGTCCATTTTCTTCTATTTTACCTGTTTTATTTCTGGAAATGTTCTAAAATCCTGAAGCTATTTTATTTCAAAAAATTTTCCACAGAAAAATTCTAAGGATCTTTAGAATATACCCTAAAACCTAGGCAGATGGTAACAGGAGTGGCAGTGAGACATGGATTTTAAAGTTTCCTAAATTCTTTTTAAAATAGCCACTAGAGAGCAAAACTAAAAACCCATGGGAAAAATTTACAGCAAAGCTAGTTACTGAGAGCAGCCAGGCGCGGTGGCAAAGCCTAATCCCAGTGGTTCTGGAGGCTGAGGCAGGAGGATCATGAGTTCAAAGCCAACCTCAGCAACAGTGAGGTGCTGAGCAACTCAGTGAGACCTTGTCTCTAAACAAAATACAAAATAGGGCTGGGAATGTGGCTCAGTGGCCGAGTGCCCCTGAGTTTAATCCCTGGTGCACCCCCTCAAAAAAAAAAAAAAACCTAGGAGCCACTAAGAACATGTCATTAGCTTCTGTGGGGGAAGAGGCAGAGGGGAACTGGTAGGTATTCCCTGGAATGTGTGGTGGGCTGATGTGAGAACAGCTTTTGGGAATAGTGTTGCCTAATCCAATACTGGGGGAGTGCAGAAGGATCCAGATAATTTCTGAAGGAGCTGGGGCAGTCCAGACCCAATGAACCTACCCTGCAAGTCTCCCTTCAAAGGTAGGGCTGCACATTTAGGAGAAATACTGGAAGTGGAATAAAAATGAGCAAATTAGAGACAGCTGAAGAAAGAGATGTGAACAGAATTAGGAAACCTCAAAAATCCAACTACCACATTTTAAAACATGACCTAAAAGCAGAAGAGAGCTCAGTGAAGTTAGAACCACACTTTCTTCTAAAAGTGCAGGAAAACTAATTGGACATAAAAAAAAAAAGCACACTATAAAAGGATTGAAGGAAAACAGCCTACAAAATTTTTATAAGAAAAAAAAGTGGAGAATCACATTTCTATGATTAAAGCAAGTCTACTGCAAAGGTATGCCCACAAACGGATAAAAATTATAGCGTATGATTTTAAAACAGGGTAAATGTTTAAGAAACTGATCAAGTTAGGAAAAGAACAGAAGTGAAGTGACAAAACTCAAGAAAGAATTAGAAAGCCAAGAAAAATAAAAAATGAAGACTAATTAAGGGCAATTACATACAATAGACAATTGCTTAAGAGAAATACATGATTAAGTAGAGGAAGTTTTTTTTAAAAAAACAAAAAACAAGAAATGAACAGATGGAAAAAATTCAGGAGAAAACAATGAACAATGACAATGGGAAAAAATTCAATATAAAGATAATAGGAAGGCTGGGGTCATAGCTCAGAGCGCTTTCCTAGCATGTGTGAGGCACTGGGTTTGATTCTCGGCACTGCATATAAATAAAATAAAGGTCCATTGGAAACTAAAGAAAAAAAGATAGTAGGAGCCCCTGAATTTCAGAATAAATGCTAAAATCTATCATGCCCCCCCAATTACCTTAATAAAAGACCTCAATTTATATGTTGAAAGAGCACACGTCACATACCTGAGAATATGGATTTAGAACAAGCACCAAAATACATCTAATAGAATTTTGGAACTATACAGATAAAAAGAGTAGAGGAAACTGTAACCAGCTAGGAAATGTGGCTTCTAAGGAGAAGAAAATTAATTATCATCAGACTTCACTGTGGTAATACTTCAGGCCAGAAGATAATGGAGATAATTTAAGATTCTTCAGCAAAGAAAATGTGAACCAAGTTTTTTAGATCAGCAAAACTGACTTTCAAGTACCAAGGGCACAAACTGTCACATTCAAAAACTTGGAGAATGTTCTTTCCAGGAGCCCTTTCTTAGGCGTCTACTACAGAATAAGTTGAGCCAACCAAAACAACTTTATACTTCTGATGATAGCATTAAATATATAGTTATTTGTAAAACCAATTAATTGTGGTTTAACAGGGAAGGAATATTGCATATAATGAATATATTACCTGACAACAAATATATAGTATGACCATAAAAATGGGAGCCATTGGGGAGAGCAAGTGCAAAAAAATTTTAAACCATTTCTAGTAATCAACTTGGTGATACTATGAGTAGTAGTAATCTGAGACTGATGAGCACAGGGGTAATTATGGGATGGTATCTTTCATTGTCTATGTTCTTGAGAACCAGGATGTTAATGGAAGAAAGGAGATAAAGATGTGTAGATGAACGTTAAATAAACTTGTACATTTGGATTGGAAGTATCATCCTAAACTACTGAGGTATTTATTTTATCCTCTGAATGACTTCAAACATTGATCAACTTAGCAATTATGCATTTTTTGTGCCCATAATGTGATATTGAAACATCATTTATCACTAAAAGAAACCAGAGTTTCTTAGAGAAAGAAGAAATGCATCAAACAATCTATGAGGTTATAATGATACACAACATAACTGGCCATTTTGGGTATTTAAAAAGAGCTAATCCTTGATCTTTTTCTTTCCCTTTAGTACTGGGGATTGAACTCAGGGGCACTTTACCACTGAGCTACATCCCCAGCCCTTTTTATTTTTTATTTTTGAGACAGGGTCTTGCTAAATTGCTGAGGCTGGCCCCAAATTGTGATCCTTCTGTGTCAGCCTCCTGAGTTACTGGGATTACGGGTGTGCACCTCCACATCTGGCCAATTCTTTATCTTGAAACCTAGCAAATTAAGGGAAAGTATCAAGATTTACTAACCTCTCTTAGATGAACTGTGACCCTGAGGGGGTCACCTACTATGTGACTATTCACTCTTATAGTTAATATCTTTATAAAGTGTACCAGTTAATAAATGAAAAAGAAATGATAGAAAAAAATAACAATTTTTTCATTATAGTAATGGATCTAGGCATTCAGCATTAATGGTTGCTGCCATAATAAAAAAAGAGATAGCTAGATGTTATATGCCTTCCGTGAAGGAATAGCACCTATAACTTTGCCAGAGATCCAACCTGAATCTGATCAAGCTGATCAATTAGGAAAATATCTTCTTATTTTTAGGAAATTTGGAAAATAGAGGAACATGCAGAGTGGCACCATAAGTGTGCAGTTAGCAAATTCCAGACTGAAATGTTCTAAGAGTTAAGCTAGTTGGATACTTTAACAGATAAATTGTAAGAAGAAAAAAAGGAATGGGAGATTTAAAAAAAGATAAACCAAAGTTTAAAAAATTATAAAAGGCAAGACTAAATTATAGGTTCTTGGGAGGCATATATGGGTTTCTATCTATAAAGGAATGCAAGGAAATAATTATAATTAAAAAATCCAGATAATGGTTAATTTTGTAGGTAGGGAAGGAGTTGTGATTGAGAGGGGCAATGGAGAGGCCTGGGATAGCTGTCTAAGCTCTACTTCTTGACCTGGTGGTAGTGATAGGAGTGTTGGCCTTGTCATAATTTGTTAGGCTAATTCATGTGGTTCTATGTGTATTTTATTTTATAGTAAAATGTTAAAATATACTTTATTCAGGGTAAAACTCACATTTATTTCTTACTGGTAAAAATGGTTAGCATCAACATAATGTACTATCAGAGGTGGTGGAGGTGAATGGCCTACTTGAAATTCACAGGATCCACTTGGGGACACTCTTGTGAATGTGCTGGTTTGGTAGCAAATTCCACACCACCATTCCACAGAGTGTGATCATGGACTGTGGGAGGTCATGTTAGGTACAAGACTGGTAGGGAAAGAGATCTGTTGAGGAATCTAAATCCTGATTGTCCTCCAGACGCTATAAGGTACCAAGTATGTGTCCTTTGGGGACCCTGGTTTGCAAGCCTAGTTCTGTGTTGTGGGAAGGATGTGGACTTTGGGACTGTACAGTTGTGGGTTCAAGTCCCAGCTCTCCTACCTTTCTACTAGTTGGGAGAATTTAGGCAACTTATGTAATCTTTTTGTGGTTCAGGTACAGCATGTGTAAAATGATACACCTTCCAGGAGGCTGTGAGGCCATTGAGCATAATGTGTGAAAGCCCCTGGTTAACTATGAACTGTAATGAGAAATCATTAACACTCTTGAGATCCCCCTGAAGGTTCTAGGAGAGACCTGAGAAGGGCTGATCTTTCACCTCTGGATGATCTTGAGGCTCTGAGTAAGCAGGAAATGAAGGTAAATTGCTACTATTGGCAAATTGCTGGAGCACTGAATGCAGGCCCCAATACACAGAGCAAAGAGCCTTGGCAAAGACTGGGAGACTGATTGGTTCCAGGCATTTAGGAGAATCTCCATCCAGACATTAGGAGGCCAGTGAGCTAACTGAAGGGCTGGGGATGTAGCTCAGTGGTACAGTGCCTGCCTGTCTTGCATGCACAAGGCCCTGGGTACAGTCCTCAGTATTGTAGTAAACAGACAAATGAGCTGACTCAACAGAGGCTTTGATGACCACACACAACAGACTACAGACTTGACAGAATTCAGGAAAGGCACTTGAAAAAGAAAGAAACTGTAACAATTAACCATACTGAAACAAACCCTGGAGAGAGGGGAGAAGCTGATTTCTAGTTGTGACATGTTATTTAAAAAGACAATTTTTAACAACAAAAAAATTATGAGACATGCAAAGAAACAAAGAGTGTTCAAACCAAAAATGTTGATCTTAAGGAAGAGACTGGAACTGTGATTTCTAGAAGTTGGGAAAAATAGGGGCAAAGAAGATGAAAGAAGTTCAGAAAACAGGTGCTAAAGTACAGTTAAATAGGAGGGATACGTTTTTATAGTTCCATAGCATAGTAGGTGACTAGTTTATAACAACTTATTATATATTTTATGAAGGATTAGAAGATAGGAGTTTAAAGGCTCCAAACACAAAGATAAGAAGATGGCAATGCTAATTATTCTAATTTGATTATCATACATTATATACATGCATTGAATATTGTCATTCCGGAGCCCACCAGTATGTACCATTATTATGTGTCAATTAAAAAGAAAAAAAAATCAGACTGGGTA